ACAACAGGACGCAAAAACGTGGACCCTCGGATTCACAATGTGGGCATGCTAAAACCTAGGCTACTCTCGATCCCTGCATCTGTTCGCTTGCAGGAAGCTTAAAGCTAACGTTACTTTGAAAAATATTATTATCCATTGAAAGCTATGTAGGAAATTGTTAGGACTATTTTGATAACACATATTTGGTTCTACAATTTTGACTAGTGTGAAATTTTATTTTCTTCAGCCACGTCAACATAAAAAAAAAGGAAAAATATTCAATTTTAATTTTCTAAACGTATAGCTTTACACAATAATTCTTAACCGTTCTCTCTGCCTCTTTTAGTTGTTTAAAACCCCATTCACGCACAAATCGATACACACTTTTGTTTTAACTTCACACACAAGTCCTACAGCAACGACGGCCAAGATGAGGGATGGCGAACCTATGGCACGCGAAAAAATTTTTCTTGGCACGCGGAATTCACTGCTGTCCCAAGTTTTTGTTTACCCGACCAATATATATATATATATCTGAAGGCGTAGAGATTGTATATGTTAATAATTAATTAATTATATTATATAATAATTATATATAAAATATTTATAGTACATAAAATTAATAATAATAACAGTAATTTTGCTGCTCAAAATTTCCATGGGCACGCGGAAGAATTTTTCCGAAAATTATCGACAATTTGGGCACACGCTCTCAAAAAGGTTCGCCAGCGCTGGCCCAGATAAATTAACTATTAAAAACTTCTCAACTTTCTTCGAATAAATTCTAGTAAATTGCTTAGTAACTGAAAACATGGTCCCCGTACTAATACAGCGGTCGTGACAAAATCAGAGGCGGAAAATGTATCATACAACTGACCTTGAACTACATAAATTATACTGGTCAACAGTGTTAGCTCCAAATTTATAGCTTCGATTACTACTTGATACGTTGGTCAGCCTTCTGAACTCTGATATACCAGTCTTTTTTTTATATTTTAAAGAAAACAAAAACGGCTACTTATATGTACAAGTGTGTGTGTGTTTGTTTGTATGCTAAAATGACTTTTATAGTAAATTTCACACTTCTGACTGCTAGAAGATATTAAACCTGGTACATTGATAAATCTGTAAATATATTTTTCATTTCTGTCAGAAAGACACTATTATACGGAAGGACTGTGTAGTCGAACAAGGTTTGAAAACCTTGAGCAGTAGGTGGCACTTTATACGTCATAGCGAGCTCTTGCACTTGGGGTGGAGCGACGTTAATGGACATCAAACATGACATAAGCGAGAACTTTCAATTTTGGTCACACTCCAATCTACACGGTCTTTCTGTTTATATGCAGAATGATATATTCAAGAACTTGCAAACATTACACAAAGAACACTCTTTGTCTATGTTGGTCACCTAGGAATTTTCCAACTGAACAATGTAGCGTGTCTTGAAAATTTGTGGTTAATAATAACAGTGAGAAAAGAAGGTTACAAGATACTCTGTTTTTGGAACTTGACGTCCTGTTGATATTATAAAGTGTATGTATTCGTCTATAATAGTGTATACTGTTAGAAGAAGTTGGTTGCGTTTGAAGATGTCATATTTTCATGTTGTTAGGATCCACATGTACTTTGAAACCATATATATATATATAGGTTAGTACATCTTTGAATGTGATCATAGCAACATATTACAAAAGAAGCCTGTGGGTCGGCAGTAAGTTTACAGAGTTACAACGCTATAATCCGGCATTCTATCCCCTGTGTAGCTTTGCAGTAACATAACAACAACAAACTTTAAAAAAAGCTTTCGTTTACGAAAGAAATCTCTATATATTAGTCTCAACATTTGATCTGACGTGAATGACCCATGTTACTCCCGGCTTCTCCACTTAATCACATTTCCATGCATTTTCTTGTTTTGGTTGAATTATTGTTAAATGTTTTAATGACGTCCAAGGAGTGATGTAAATTCTTTATATTTTGCTTTAGGTACCGAAGATGAAATCTGTAGAATTAAGAAACATTTATCTGTGTCCCTTTTTAAATAAATAATGTTATTCGTCATGAGTGTCCTAGAAATCTTGTTTCTCTACATTTGAAAATATTTTATTGTTAACTAACTTAACGCTTTATAACCTGCACGAACGTAAATGTCTATGGTTATGAGATGTTAATGAGATTTTTCACAGTTATAATTTGAACGCACGTAAAGTTGGTGCTCGACTTCCTCGCCAGTTCTTCTTGTCATAATCTTTTCATGCATTTCATATCATAACTATTATTACTGTATTTCAAAAGACTATTGAATTGCACTGTCAACTTAATTTTCCTTTTTCCACTTCTGAAATAAATCAACTTTTCACTCGACAACTGCCCCCAGTGGCTCAGCGATAATTCTCTGGACTTAAAACGCTAAAAATTGGGTTTCGATACTTCCGATTGCACGTTTTGTGCTTAACAATAAACAAACTTTCATCTTTCTCAGCCAATGGTTGCTACATACTGATACATAATACATTGTATAAAATCACAAAACTATTATTATATTTCCTATAACAGCTAGTTCTCTAATGGCCCGACGGTAATTCTGCAGGCTTATGACGCTAAAAATAGAGTTTCGATACCCGCAGTGGGCAGAGAAGACTCAGCCCATTGTGCCAACTCTACACCTATAAACATGGCGAGTATTTTACATAATACGTTTTACGATAACTCTTGTGTCACACTATATTTAGAGCCAAAGGACACGTGAGAGAAAAATAACTTTTTCTAGAAAAAACACACCTAAGAAACAGAGAGAATGCGTGTTTGTCGGTTTAGGTCGTTGCCACCATGTACCGCATGACTGTGACTATGTCGGTCTTTGTTTAATGGCTTCAATTAAATTTGTTAAATACTGCAGTAATTTGTCCTTATGGTAAGAAGAAAAAACATACATTTTATTAATCCCTGTTCCAGTGTGGTAATTCTTCACTTCAAAATTATTCTACACACAACATAAAAATAATTAACAATCATTCATGCGTGAACTGTAGAACTATAACCAGTGAGTATTAACTTGAACCTTAGTCACTTGTAGTGAACAGTGATTAGCGCCAAAAATCCACTTGTTTCACTTTCAAAGACATTCTTTCACGTTTCATGAAACAAATATGTAATCATTATTTATTTAAACTAAGTTATTTAAATGCAATTTTGGTTTCAAACACCTTAAAAATGGTACAACAGCAACGCTTTACGTTGCTAATTTACACTTTCTTTAACAGTTTGATATGGGATATAATAGTTTATGAACTAGCGTAAAGCCATATTTTTTTTTATCTAGGTCGAGCGTGGCTCAGTCGTTAGCTAGGGTGCTACGATTGTGAGCCAAGGACCCATTTTTTTGCTGTAAGTGAATTTTAATTTATAGAGTAGAGAAAAGGCAGCTGTTCAATAAGTATCCACTGCCAACTTCCTCTTGCCTGACCGAATATACCATCACTGGGACGGATATACGCAGACAACCCGTTTTGTAGCTTTGAGATGTGATGTGCAGGTATATCATGTGTTTTTGTAGATGTCTTAGCAACATAGGAAGTTTTTTTTAATTTATGTGCAGTTTTAGCATGAACACGTGGTCCAAAAAATCGTTGAGATTGTCGTTTTAGTTACTTTGTTCTTTATAGTGAATAATGTCTATTCTGCCTGAGGGGATATTGCAGTAATATATAGCAACAAAGTTGAAAATATTAGCACTGTAATGTTCTTTGCTTGGACGGGTTGACGCTGATGCTATCTAAACATGGCAGCCGATCAATGCTGAGACATAACGAGGAGACACTGTCGCTTGAACAAATAAACCGAGTTTACCTGTTGAATTGAAGCGCTCTTCCATAATTTAGTTCTACTTGGTTTACATCGTGACTAGTTCAGAAAGTTGACAAGCTCTTCAGTGACCGAAATTTAAACATCAAGTAAATAATAGTTGGTTATGTTTGAAAAGCACAAGGTTCAAAATTACTTTTATTTAGGAATCCACGTTGTATTCGGGTATCATGAACGTTTGGATTGATAAACTGTTAGGCTGTAAACTATGATCACTGACAAGCAGCTAAGTCATTTTACACCGACGACTTACATAAATATTGTTTCAACTAAGCCTTTTTTTAACATCATGATCAGTTTTATGTGTACTTATTTTTTTTTAGAAATTAAAACTGCTACGTTTCAGCCTATAGGAACGGACCATCTTTAAGCAATGTATCATGGCTCGTTCCTTTGTGTGAGAAATAAATAGATGGGACACATTTGTTGGACAGTAAAAACAATTTTTATTTAGCCCCAACAACAACAAAAAATGCATACTTGCTTTAACAAGTGGACGATTGTCTCTACTACTATTAATTGTGAAATAAATATTTTTGACAAATCAGAATAGGCCCGATTTTCGCTCATATAATAAATATATGATGTAAAATTTATATTAGTTTTTTATTTTGTCAGGTTTACTAAATGTACTTTACTCAAATGGAAATAGTGTTAATCATCCGCTATAAATTACTTTTAGGAGAGCTTCACAAACCCCAAAAGAGCTCTTTTTTTTTTTTCTGAAATTTAAACTGCAGTAATATTAATAGAAATTACGATATTTTTACCCGAAAATTACACTTAGTAACAAAAGTATTATTTTCACTGATTTTTTCCTCACCGAGAGACGTGTTATGAAACTCAGTGATAAGATTTACTCTGGCGAATTAAATCACAACATTCCTAGACGAACATTAATTTAAAGGAAATAACACCAAAAACGACAGAGTTTTCCAATAAGAACGTGATTATTAAACACGCCTTACAGTTAAGAAAAAACGCTTGTTTGTTTGTTCTTAAGCAGAAAGTTACACAATGGGCTATTTGTGCTATGCCCACCACAGGTATCGAAACAGTTTTTAGCACTATAAGCCTTCCAGCTTACCGCTAAGACACTGGGGGGTTAAAAAAACAAGTTTGTAGAAAAAATAATAACAAATGGAAATAATTCAAGTTCAGAAAAAAGGGTTAATATTCTTATAAAGTTAAAACTTTTTTATGCATATTCAGTGGTGCATGTAAAAAATTCCAAAACATTTATATTTGATTGTTATATTTAAATAGAAAACTACACAACAAGCTTTGTATACTGTACCCACAGCAGGATAGAACCCCAAATTTAGAGTTAAGTCTTAAGCCTAACGCAAAACTACCAAAAGAGACATTTCTAATAGAATTAGTAAAACTGTAAATACTCTTTAATGTTTGTAAAACTATTTATAAAAGAATATTTCGAAATTTTAAATGTTGAGCCTACTCAACTTTCTTTAAACCATAATACTATATAATTATTGGTGGATTTTCTACATAACATTATTCACGCTGTCATCTAATAAGTGATTTCAGATTTCAAAGTTTTTCAGCTTCTCACAGGGAGAAAGTCCCATCTTCTCTCAGATTGCTTGGTATCCATTCATTTGTACCCCCTTTTCGAAAATTCTGGACCTGCCCCTGATTATAACTAAAGCACTAATAATCATTTGAATAAAACCACGACAGTTTTTAATGCCCTAAACTTCAGTTATTTGACTTGTCATCCCTGCTGTCTTGGTAATTACTGTCAATTGTTAAAATGTTTGGTGTTTGCAAGACTTTGGTTAGAAGAGAACATATTGACACTTACAAGAAAGGGAAAAACTGAATAATATATTTAAATAATATTATGTAAAAAATCAAAAACCCTTTAAAAATAAAAACATTTGAGCCGCTACTACGTTGACCAACTGGCGTCTATCATGTCTCAGTCTGTATCAGATTCTTCTATGTCATCAATTTCAAAACAGATGTGATATAGGTCTTACTGCCACAAGATCATGCATGTAAACCAGTTATCTCACATAATACAAGGTTTAGTAAAGTTCTTACTTCTATTTCACATTATTATTTGTTAAAAGTTGTTCAAAAGTTTAAGTTACATTTGGGTTGGCTAATAGAAAAATTGGTGTAACCAAAGCCTTCAAAAAGTCAATTTCTCAGAAGTAATATAATTTAGTTTTAACTATTCTATTTATAATGCATTTGTTTTGAAGGAATATTTAGTATCAGCTGTATCTCTAAGAAAAATGCTTGTATATAAATTAGCAAAAACTTGAGTAAAGATACGAGTATAGAATTTATTAGATTACGTTAAAAGATCAATTTTGTGAAAGAATGCCATATTATACCAAGTACAATCAGCTTACTTTCTGAAATTCGTGGAAAATTAAAATTTATGGCAAAACAACTTTAAATGTCATCTTCATCTTGTGTTGTTTATCTAATATTATCGGGAACTTCCGAGTCAAAAGTATCAAATAAAATGTGTGGAAGTACAATTTTAGTATTAGCCATAAAACACAAAAATTAAAAACCAGAAGAGGGAAAGTCTGTAAATAAATTACAATTGTACTAATTTTAAATCATGGAAAGATATAAAGTTGTAGAGATTGTCTAGTACTCGGTGTTCCCTCTAAACTATGCAACTGCACAATAACCAATCAAGTGCTACGCACATCCTCAGTAATGGTAGTTGATAGGCCTAAAGCCCAAATAATCAACTAATATCCAATAAGGTCGATGGTCTAGAAATATCCCATCTCCCACACCCCAAAAAATGGTAGCGCACATCCACACATTGCCTTGACACTGATGCACATGAAAAAATTCATTCCACACAAACATTGAAAAAATTAGAGGGAACATTGCTAGTATTACCAGTTGTAACTTTCAAAAACTGACAGTGACAGATAATACGTTTGAGAAGGGACTCTTGAGATTATTTATAAGGGGGGGGGGGGGTATTCAATATTAGTTCATAATTGTGAAATACATCAACCTAAAAGTTACCAGCATCAGTGAAAACTTCTAGATGGCTATACAATACAGCTTGTTTGAAGCTGTGGAGGATATCTGATATCAGTTTTAGCTCAAAAGTATATTCTGTATCAGTCGTGATGCAGAAGGATGTCTAGTATCAGTTGTGATGCAGAAGGATGTCTGGTATCAGTTGTGATCCAGAAGGACGTCTGGTATCAGTTGTGATCCAGAAGGACGTCTGGTATCGGTTGTGATCCAGAAGGACGTCTGGTATCGGTTGTGATCCAGAAGGACGTCTGGTATCGGTTGTGATCCAGAAGGACGTCTGGTATCGGTTGTGATCCAGAAGGACGTCTGGTATCGGTTGTGATCCAGAAGGACGTCTGGTATCAGTTGTGATCCAGAAGGACGTCTGGTATCAGTTGTGATGCAGAAGGATGTCTGGTATCAGTTGTGATTTAGAAGGATGTCTAGTATCAGTCATAGTTCAGGAGACCTCATATAATAGTTAAAACTTTTATTTCTCCTGACTTTACCTTTGATCCTATCACTCTAACAACAAACATTTATACAGTAAGGTTTAAGTGTTGTGAAAGTATACCCATGTGTTTGTTAATAAAAGCTACTTATATTGCAGCACTACCCACATGAAAGTAGTTTAAAAATAAGTTGTGGTACCACACCATGGTTGGAAATTATTAAAATTTATACCTTCTAATTACACATTTTTAATGTATTCTAACTGTTTCCATCTATATGTACAAATTTACATTTTACATCATCTAGGGGACAACTATTAGGATGATTCCTGTAAAACCAGCATAGCCGAGTCTTCGCAGGGATCCTTCCTCTTCTCTTCTTATTACTTCGACTGGAGCCAGATTTTCCTTGGTCAAATGGAGAAGCTAGACTTGCTGTTCCTTTCTTCACTGAGACACAAAAATTCAAAACCATACTAATGAAATTAACTCTGTTATTCAGGAGTGTTGTATGCTAACTTTGGTAATTACTCTACATCATTTTACATAACTTATCTATCACAGAAGACAGAGATCTGTACAAAATGTTATGAAAACAATATTATGATTAAAGGTATGTACACGATACATGACACATCATTCGGGTTACTATAAAAATCTTCAAAACTAACAGACACATTCTCAGTAAACATTATGCAGAAAAGTGACATTAAGAGGAAAAATGCATGAAATTAGCTAGATTTTAGCCTTTTCTTTAACCATCTAGCATAGTAAATACATTTTCTCATATTCAAGTAAAGCTTGTACAAAGGCTGTGATTTAGCACTAACAAAATACTGATTTAATCAAATTTATACACATATCTGTAATTATAACTTTTACAATACATAACGGTTCTCTTAAATAATGTGTATATCAGGCAGGCAGTAGCACTGCCTATGTAGGGATGGCTTGGATTGTTCATCAAAATGGTATGTTAAATATCTCCTCAATAGGCCTTCAGAACTTTACAATACTATACAGTGTTTCCTTTTATAACAAGATCTATGTAAATTAGTGAGTCACAAGTTCTGGGAATGTCTGTAAATATCATAGCAAAAAGTTTTAATTTTTTGTTCTTCTCACTTCTTTTTTTATTACATGATAACTCAAAAACCAAAACAATGGTGTCAACCAAATTCACTGAGGTGACATAGTTTCAAACAAAGTATCCACTTTTATAAGTATTATTAATAACTAGCAGTAATTTTAAAAAAAATCATAATTCTCATGTAAACGATGTTATCATTACCCCTTGAAGTTGGCTTTCTTAAAGACATTTGGTGTTCATTTAAAAAGCTTAAGTACAGGGTGACACAGGAATTACCAGCCAATAATAGACAAACAGTAAGTATTGCAGTTGGAAACTCATTGTATTTAGAACGTGGTTGTAAATACAACCTTCCTATGTCTATTGAAACTGCATTAAAAAAAACAAGAAAATAAGTAAAGAGAAAATTTTTCAAAAAAGAAAGTAAATGTAGGGATGGCTAATATCAATCCTTCAAAACAAGGTAAACAAGATAGTAGGGATGGCAGTTGCATCATTCCTACATAATAGCATAGGCAAGAATTAACATATAGCAATATATATAACTATTCAATCACAATTGAGTTTAATTTATCCTATTTTTGTCTGTTAGTATTCTACTACACTGTGTGCCTGAGCTGTTATGTAAGGATGATGTAAATGACATCCCTACTATCTTGTTTGCATTGTTTTTGAAGGATTGACATTAGCCACCCCTACATTTACTTCCTTTTTTGAAAAGTTCTTTCTTTACTTGTATATATATATATTTTTTTTCAGTAGGACTTGTAACCCAATAATTGTGTGCTTTATTCTAATAACTTTATAACTTGTGAATAAGTGTGGATTTGTTGTTAAAATGTGTCTCATATTAAAAACTATAAAATAACTTTATTTTATGTACCTGTAAATATGTGCTGGTTGTTTCTAAGTAGTGTCTGTAACCCACCACACTGGTTCTTCAACTGTTTTAAGGTGTTATTACTCAAGCTTTTTACCAACACTGAAAGCTCCATTTTACCTAAAAAACAAACACAAAAATGACAAGTAAAAGCATATATCACTAAAGCATATCTGGAAAATTGTTTTAACATCAGAGTGACAAGTAAATGTGTAAACTAATGTAAAACACTCAAACAATTCAATACTGAAATTGAGAAGAATCATTACATCTTCAATGTAGCCAATCTATCAGTAACAGGCATTAATTAAAGCTACAATGATGTGAACAATCCAATGGTGTCAATCATTAATTAAAGCTGCAATGGTATGGTCAGTCCAACAGTGACAGAAATTAATTAAACCTACAGTGGTGTGGCCAGTCCAACAGTGATAGAAATTAATTAAACCTACAATGGTGTGGCCAGTCCAACAGTGATAGAAATTAATTAAACCGACAATGGTGTGGCCAGTCCAACAGTGATAGAAATTAATTAAACCTACAATGGTGTGGCCAGTCCAACAGTGATAGAAATTAATTAAACCTACAATGGTGTGGCCAGTCCAACAGCGATAGAAATTAATTAAACCTACAATGGTGTGGCCAGTCCAACAGTGATAGAAATTAATTAAACCTACAATGGTGTGGCTAGTCAAACAGTATTAGAAATTAATTAAATTTAACTTTAGTGTAGCTAATACTTCAGTGATATGCAGTAATTAAATCTAACTTTAGTGTAGCTAATACTTCAGTGATAGGCATAAATTAAATCTAACTTTAACATAGTTAGTACCTCGGTGATAGGCATAAATTAAATCTAACTTTAACATAGTTAGTACCTCGGTGATAGGCATTAATTAAATCTAACATTAACATATCTAGTATATCAATGACAGGCATTAATTAAATCTAACCTTAATGTAGCTAGTATATCAATGACAGGCATTAATTAAATCTAACATTAACATGGTTAGTACATGTTAGTCAGTGGCAGGTATTAATTGAATCTAACTTTAATGTAGCTAGTATATCAATGACAGGCATTAATTAAATCTAACATTAACATGGTTAGTACATGTTAGTCAGTGGCAGGTATTAATTGAATCTAACTTTAATGTAGCTAGTGTATAAGTGACAGTCAACCATAATGTGGTCAGTTAATCACTGTTGGATAATAAAACTGACTTTAATGTAGCCAGCATATCAGTGAAAGGCATTAATTAAAACTAAATAAAAAAAATTTTAATCCAAAATTTCAACCGATATTCAAAAAATGTAGCAAATGAAAAAAAATGTTGTTACAAATATTCGTTATTCAAAAGTTAAATAAACAATTAACAAAAATTAGAAGAATCAGCTAAAGCAGAGAAATTAGTACAGAATTTATCACAATATAATAAAAAGACTGAATGAAGATACTTTAGGACTGAAGAATTTAAGAACAGAATGCTACAAAATAGAACTGAAGAAGAGACATTTTTCTTTTAACTGTCCTGTAAATCCAATAAAGATTGAGAGACTTGCATCCAAGAAATGTTTTTATGAAGGAGTAAAATAAATCATTAAATAGCCTAAAATTCTGAATAATGTGAACAAAGTAATTCAGTCTATGTAAAAAAAGCTCATATTATCATAGGCCTCAATGAAGAAAGAAATCAAATATGCAACTACCTCCAAGTTTCCACTTTCTCTCTTGTCCATCACTTCCTATATAAGAAAGACAGTCTTCTCCACAGTTCAAAAGTGTTTGAGCTATTACACTCACAGTTTCATTCAGGAAATGCTTATCTAAATGAGTACAGTTCCTTACTTGCTCAGCTTTCTCTCTTGGCTGGAAATCTTGTGACCAGACAAAGCTGGTTGATTTGCAGCACACCTCTGAATTTTTGTCTTCAGTATCAAGTGTAGATTCATTACACTCACTAAATGCCTTACAACTCAGAAAACTGTTTTTCTCCTCACCAGTAGTTCTAACAGGAGATAGGCTTTTTACATGAGTGAATCGAGAATACTTTTTTATGTATTCTGAACGTCTTTTATCAACAACTGCTTCTTCTGACACTTTATAGTTGCGTGAGGAACAAATCAGGCAGATCTGTAACAGTAAAACTCAAAAGTTGATGTAACAGAAAGAAAAAAAATCTACGTAAAAGCCAGTGTGTGTCATGTCACGCTTGATTTCTCAAAATAGAAGTTATAAAAGCCAAAATGAATTTATCCAGATAGAATGGTTTGATTACTGTCTGCCCAATACAATTTTAGTAACGGGGGTGCAAGGGGGCCCGATGAGGAAGGGAGATGCTGTGAAACCTTATAAGTGTAGTGAGTGTTGGTATAATAGGCCTAAAGTAAAGATGAAAGTAAAAAATATCGATTCAATTTTAAACTTAAAACGTTTCTGAATTGAGCTATATTCTGTTATATCCTGAACATTTTAAATAAAAAACTAACTTTTTTAATCAACAGAGACTAAGTTAAGAAATCAACAAATATTTCTCCAGTTTTGTTGTCTGTACATTTCATTTTATACTTTCAGTAGATAGACTAACAACAATATTAGGTTAAACTTAAAAGCTATTGCACTGGCTTTTCTATATATATTAGAAATTGGTAATTAACTAATTTTTATTTATAATTATTCTACGAATATGCCACGAATTCATTTCATGAATGATCTTAATTTTGATTGGCTCACAAAGGAACTTACAAACGTTTGAATGTCTTGACTGCACTTTCCTGACTCTTTTGTTCGTCAAGCTTGATTACACAAAATTTATTTATTTCAGTTAGCTATAAAAGGTGAAGTCAGAATATACTATGGCTATACACCAGTAGTATAATAGTATTAGCTATATAACTGAAGAATACACTACTAAATAATGTTAAAAGATATCAATATAACCAATTAACTAACATAATATTTGACAATTTAGAAATTAAAAGAATGCAAGTTGTGATAAGAAAGGGTGAAATACAATGCATACACTCAATATTACACTGAAATGGAGAGATAAATTCTTACTCGTTTTGTTGATGGTATCCTGAGTTTATCTTTCTTTACATGAAATCCCATAACTTGGCAAAGTTCATTAATAAAATTCAAGTACGACTGATACTGACTAGTTCCACTATGTGACTTTTGGTACTTCCCATCAAAAGTGAATGCACAACAGGGAATAAGGAAGGCTCTCATGTTGAAGGACGATCTGTGATAGAGCATAAATGACAGCTTCAATAACAATAATGATCAATTATCTATATCACAGAGATTAGAGAACAACTACACAGTCTGAATATAAGGCATGAATTTGATGCCCAGTTTTAGGAAAAAACTTCATGCGCAAGACAGCACATTATTATTTTTTAAATACTATACAATATTTATATCATCTAATTAAATACAAAAATATTTTAATTAGAGCCTTGTCCAGTCTAGCATAAAGTTATATTATATGAGTATAACTGAATGAAGCCTCACTACAGAGACCAAATATATTATCTTCATTTCACCAAAGAATGCATTTTCTATTCAAATTAAAATATATATAACTGAACTAAGTATGGGCAGGTGGGTGTATTTATTATGGATGCATGTCTATATACACCCATTGATGTTCACACCTTTAGTGGAAACTCACTTAATTCTAGTTTCAACATTTTAGTTCAGCAAAATAACATAGTACATTTCTGAAGGATAAAAGGAACATAATGTTTTGGGACAACATGGGCCCTATTGGTCCATCTCAACTGTCCCATCTTTAAACTAAAACTACTAAAATAAATAAAATCTTAAAGCCAGCCCTTATCATTCATATACTTATCAAGCTTTCTCTTAAACTCACTTAAATTTATTGCCTCCAAAATAAGAAAAAATAAATGCTATGAAAATACTGCCAGTTATGCAATGTCACCTGGATGTTTGAAATAGTATTTTCTTTCATGTTCTTACACTTACCTTGCAGCTATCACTGGGATCCAGGGTGTGAGCTCATCCGAATGGTTTCCTATCAACCAGTCATACTCAGGAAACAGGTACTTGTCAGAAGGTGTGATGGTCATTTCCTGTTCATAATAATTTCTGATCACAGTATTCTTAGAGTGAAACTAAAAATCAACTTGGTTATCAACATAGCTAATTAAATATATGAAAATATTATTAATGAACATTTGCATACTTACATGATTCAATTTTAACATGTAACTGAACCCAGCTAGCAAAGCATTACCAATACATGTTAATTGAAATTCAACAGAAATTGAGGGAATTTAAAAACTTTCCTTAATACTGTTATTTGAAGTTGTACTTAGAAAAAGTTTATAACAAGTAAACAAAGTTGAAAATGACAATAAAAGCTGGTAAATTTTATTTTTTTGTCACATATATTAGGTAGATAGGTAACACAATTGTATAAAATATTTTAAGGATAAAAAAATCTGAAAAGAAATATCTTGCACATTATGTGTAAAACAAAATTACAATACTTATAGAATCATGATCAAATATTTGTAGTATATTGGTATTTTCAACCTTAACCCTTTTGGTGCATAAAAAATATCAAGCTGATTCTCAAAAAGTATCAATTATCCACCCAAAAAATGAAATTAGGAATTTGATCTTTTCTAGTTTTTTGTAAAGCCATTGGGTAAATGTGTTTGTTACATAAAATGGCTATAAATATCAAAGTGGATATATCCATTTGATGCATCGTAAGGGTTAAAAGCACATTTTGAACTGATTAACAGAGAGGGGGCAACAAGCACTAGCAGCCACCACCTCTACTGCTACTATTAAGTGAATAGTGAGACTCTGTGTCACCTTTATAACACGTCCACAGCTGAAAATGTAGAGCATGCTCAGCAGAATATCAGAGAATTGAACCTTAGATCTACCAATCCACATCTTGCACTCAAATAATTGTGATAATTTTATCTACACCCTTTAATATTCACCCCTTTTGTTTGTGCTTAAATCATTGCTTGAAATTTACAAGAAATTTTGATTATTTAGTTGAATTTTGAAATGTTTTTAGCAGTCATCTGTGAATTTCAATGTTGTCCAATTAGGCTGAGGCTTGGAAGTTGGAAAAAGTACATAATTTTGTCTAGCCTAGATACTAGCAGGGTTCTTGCAATTATGGAGAAATGAAATTTCATGACCTTTCCGTGATTATTTATTGACCATTATCAGAAATTTGAGGACAATTTTGTGAGGGTTACATAAGAAACTACACTCTGATGTATGTTTTCAAATGCAAATATTAAACAAATTGATAAATGATGTTTTATATGGTGAAGAGGCAGTTATATTTTTATTACTAGTCTAGCAGTGTTCAAATGTAGCTGAATTATTTGAAAATAAAAAAGTCAAAGTTAAAGTGTTTCTTGTTTGACAGTTTGTTCAATTTCTAATGTGAGAACCTTCAAGGACTCTTCCTTTTCTTTCCTTTTCAGAGCAAGTTAGACCTAGGTCTAGGGATAACAAACACAGATATGCAAGTATGAGCAGCAATAGATAAAGATTAAATAAAGAAAAATACAATTTATTATTAGATTTATATCTGAATCCTGCAAATGCAACTGAGTGAAGACTTTAAGTCCAAGAAAAAGTTTTTCACAAGACAGCCTACAGGAAAACTGGATGATTTTGTTGGAAACAAGTGGCACTAACAGACCTTTAGATTTAATTTTGAATACATTTTCTATTTAATCTTTGAAAACTAGACGTAAAATTAGATCTATACCTAAATCTATCAGATCTAACTGTCACATGCATAACCCAATCTGCTTCTTACACCACACGCATGAACAGTTAGTCCTAGGCTTAATGTTAGCTGATTAAGCCTTTAGCACTAAATGTTAGGCCTATATCTATATGCACATACTTAATTAGGTGCCTACAGTTATACTGACTTAATCATTTTTACTATGTTCTAATGTAGATCTGGATTTAGGGACTTGACCAAGTTAACATATTAGGCCTAGGTAGTAATATTAGACGAGTTACATTCAAACATTAGTTGTACAAGTAGCTGACTCAAAGGAAATAATGAATGATTTAAAATCTAGCTTACGCATACTCTCCTAGAATCCCTTTAGAGTATATTATATTATGCAAAATTGTAACCTCTTAGTACAAATATTAATATTTTTATTATCTTATAGCCAAACTTGCAGTGTTTAACAAAGTATTAAAAAAAAAAAAAAGTTATTTACCCGATTAAATCATGGTATCAACAGATTAGTTAAAATATGGTGATCATGTTCTTGGACACAAGCAACATGTCGGACAATAACCTGCACAACAGTCCATTCAATTGATAACTGATGCTTTCAAACTGTTTTACTTATCTTTAAGCTTCAATACAAATTTTGGGTCAGCTCAAAATCTTTCAGTATTTTCTATAATATTTCCAGACCTGGAAATGTCATTTTAAAACTTTTCAAAGATTTCCAGGACTGCAGGAATTCTGTACTAGGGATGTGTATCAATATGTTCAGAAATCTGTTTGAATCCCTAACAATTTCTAGGTGTATAATAGGTGTATAAACAATTCTACATGGATACCAAAGAATATAAAATAAAGCTGTGATGAAAGGGTAATTTAGTTTAGTATCTGAAAACTCAGCAGAAACTAAAATTAAAAACCATTTCTATATATATCATGTTATTTTAGAATAATTAATCACAAATATGTTTACACTACTAGAAACAGCATTTCTTATGCATGCATTACTTAGATACAGGATCTTGCACACGAGCAAGATAATAATAAATGGTGCTGTATGTCATGCTATAAAAGACTGTTTAGTTTAGATGTTATTGACTGATTTGTTTTTATGAGCGAATATTTCATTATTGTTTAGTTTTTGTTATAATAAGAGTTAAAAGCAGATTATTGTAGGAAGTTTTGTTAATAATTAATTGATGTTGAGAATATCAAACATCATGTGCAATACATTTACAACGAGAATATAGAAGGTAGACAAACGATTAGGTAATAAATATATATAAAGAATGAGAAGAGCGGGAAGCAGCAGACAGATAATAGCAATAGAGAATAAAGTTGATGTGAAGTTAACTACAGTAAAAGTGATAAGCCTAACGATTGACATAGACCTTACATTTAATATGTTTAAGTGAAACTAACAGTAGAAAATAAGATAAGAAAATAATTATATTCAGTCAAAGCGTGGTTCTAAAGTAATTGAATCAGCCAGAGTGCACTTTGACAAAAGGAACAGAGGATCTTCAAAAGAAAGAAGACCAAACGATCACGGTAACTCATGCCACAAACTGGTGCAATAGAAATAGAGAAGATAGTTAGACTTGTCAACTGAAATTCTACAGTAATTGAATAGGCCTAAGTGGATATTTGACAAGAAGGAGAGAACTACGTATATAATATTTATGATATGTCTATAATATCTTGAGAA